GATTAGGACTGGGGCTGAAGTACTGTATAAGGAATGGATTAGGACTGGGGCTGAAGCATAAGGAACAAAGGTACTGAAGTGTGCTGGAAATGAGGGTTGACCTTCTCGATGCCCATCTCCTTCACTGCCTTGTCCACGATGCTCCGCACATCCTCCTCCACCCTGTGCAGCTGCAGGGCCAGCAGCTCGGCCAGCGTGGTGTCCTCAGTCATGGCGAACTGCACCTGCAGGCAGAGAGGCCACACACACAGGCTACAGGACCCCCGCACCTCGCACACTGCCGCCGAAGCCAGCCGGACGCCCCTGCTAAACCTATAGCTTAGGACAATGACACGTAATGCAGGGGTTCGAGAGGGAGACTGCGTCAGTGCGGGAGCTGCAGAGGAATAAGCAGAGGTTAATTCCACACATTGTTCTGCTTCCCCACCTTGTGTCCCAATTCTTATTGTTTCTGTGTGGAATGAGCTCCTACTTGTACTCTTGTCATGTAATGACATTTGTGTAAAAAAAAATAAATAATAAAGGACGGTAAATAATGCAACAGGACTAGTTCGGGACAAAAAAAAAATCAAGCAGCAGCTAAAAGTAGTGTTGGTGGACCAATAGGTGGCACTCTTCTCTCTGCACCAGAATTGCACCAGTATGCTGGCAGACGTACAATGCTCTAGGAGGTGCTGTCTCTTAGACAGAAGTTACTTGGTCATGAAGGCCCCATGGCACTGTTCAGGAGAGCAAGGGTATCAGCCCTGGAGCCCTGAACTGAATTCCACCCTGGACTTGAACAGTCTGCTCTCCCTAATGTGCCCATGTATCTGAACTGGTGAAGCCACTCCTCCCCAATGTCCCCCCCAGTCTGTGTGCGACGGGACCGCCGGTGCTACACTCCTTTGCTGGAGCACTGGTTCCTCTTCCACAGGTGCTTTCAGTTAAAAAGCGCTGTATAAACGAAATGTATGATTATGAGACAGAAGGATGTGCTCCAATGATGTAGCTAAATACTGAAGCACCTGCTCTACATTCACAGGGGTTCCCTCAAGGCTCCTGGGCTCTCGCCGCTCGAGACCCTGCGGCTCGCTCACCCCCGTGGTGCTGACCAGCTGGGCCCAGTGGCGCTCTCTGATGGCCGGGCTCTGCAGCTCGGTCACGGCGCGCAGGGAGGCCAGCAGGTTCCTCACGGTGGAGTCCAGGCCGCTGTAGGCACCCCAGGCCCGCGCCGCCTTGTCCAGCTGCCACATGTCCTGCGCAAATCGTCACGGCGACAACACGTCAGCGGTTCCCTGTGGCTCGGGGGGAACGTACGGCACAAGCAGGCCCGGACGGCACCTCCCAGCTCCCTCAACACGAAGCGAGAAGCGAACTGAACCGGACAACCTGAAATAATAAGACTGGTCTCCTATCAGAAGCAGAAGCATTCGCTAAAAATGTTAAAAATGTGTTACAGGAGAACAGCCCTGGTTACCGGGGACACTTACTCATAAGGCGTAAATGAGAAGAAAACAGGCAGAAGCCTGGTACAAGTGGAAACTACGTGAAAGTGTATTTAAAATGGAGAACAGGGCAACTTCTTTCCTCAAAGGCTTGAGGACAAGCTTTCATGAAACCACTGAATGAGATCAACTAACTCATAACCTCCTCTCAGCTGCAGTTTCTCCTGTGTTCTATATGATTTTAAAATGTGAAGATGATTGGGGATTACAAGTATGGCAAGACATGCTAAGAAAATAAAATATCCAATCCAATAAAATATCCTAGGAAGATAGCTCCTAATGGCCCCTTCAAGTTTGTAAACATTCTGAGGTTCTTAAAGCCACTTAAAAATGGGAAATGCTTATATGTGAAATAAGTAGTGTTTTTAATTTTAAGTACATGTGTGCTTATAAAAGATCACTATAGTCTTTGATCAAAAAAGAGAGGTTTTGATTGTGTGGCCTGTCACAAGACACTGAACACGTTCAAACCCACCCAAAGCCTCTGCTGCGAGCTGCGTATCGATTCAGTGGAGCGCGCCAGGCGTGATGCACTGAATCACCTCCAAGTGCAGAGGAACAATTCTGGCCTCTGTTTCTCCTCCCTGAGCATTAGCACAAATTATATGTCATGTTCCATTACGCCACAGCTAAACTGCCTCCTTCCTTGTAAACAGCCGAAGTCTCTTTGATCCAATCAAGTCTGACATTCATGTCTCTCCCGTGATTGAGGGAAAATTACTGCAGAAAGGCTTTTACTGCCAGCTGACAGGGGAGAAAGCAGCTCTTGATAGTGCTTGCGCAGAAGCAGTCAGGTGTAACAATATTTAGTAGCATGAGAGCATAAGAAAGGTTACAAACAAGAGGCCCTTCGTCCCATCAAGCCTGCTTGGGCTGAATTCTGACTGTTCTGGGCTCTGGACCGGCGAGACTTTAGTCAGCAGCGCCGAGAAATTTTCTGTGGCCCCTACCTTGGCAAACCTCCGCAACTCCACCTCCATCTGCTCCACACGGACTTCTCTCCAGCGGGTCTTTGTCCAGGCATCTACACTGGTCTGCAAGACAAGCCCAAAAACGACACCCTTCACGAAGAGCAAGATCTGAGGCTCTTTGAAACGCAACGCTGCACCCCACCACCCTTGGCTGCAGCTGATTAAGTAACAAAGCTGTCATTTCTTGTGCAATTCTGCAATGCATAAGCAGGGCGCGTGTTTTTTTTTTCTGCAGAACAGCTTTTCTTATTCTACAGGAGGGTCAGAGGTCACTGCAATGAAGGCCTCGAAACCATTACAATATCTGAGCTGCAAACTGGCAAAAAGGTGACTGCGTGTGCCTGTATGACTGAGAAGAAAGTAAACAGTAGCTCACTCCTAAAAGTAGTTTTTTATTTGATACAAAAAAAATGCACACATGTTAGAGAATATCCTGTGTCAGAAGAAAAGCATACCCGAACATATATAATGATGTCCCACAGGTCTTTGAGGATCACAATTTCCTGACGGCACAGCTTGAGTTGCCTGTACTCCGGAGTGCTCACTTCAAACAGGTTACTGGACTCCTGCAAGCTGGCCATCTCTTCTTCCAGCTGCTGGATCTCTCTGTTTGCCTGGAAGGAAACCTCTGTCTTACAGTGGCTTGTATCTAGTGGCTGTATTACATGTTCCCACCATGTAAAATGTCACACATTTCTTCAGAATCACTCAATGTTACCCGGTGCTACTGTGCTCCAAAAGCTCAGCACAACCACTGATACTGGGGCCAACCATGTACTGATACATGTATGTTTCTGATTAATAAGGAACCTCCCAAAATTGGAGACATTGTAAGAAAAATGAATACTGTGGGGAAAAGAGGAAGTTAATGTTACTTGTAAAGAGATTATACAAAGCTGCAGTCTTCAGAACACTTTAATTAATCATTTCACATAACAATTACACAGTGTTACCAGTGAGTCTAAAAACTTAAAAAATATATATTTACTTTTTGTAGTAGGCCGTAAGGTTTTTCGGAATTATAGGCAAAAGGTGCTTCCAGTCTAAATCTTTCTCTAAATTCGCACTGCTTCATCTGAGGAAGAAAGAGAAAAGTATGTCAGTTCTGACAACAGGAGTATGTCAAGGCACCAGAATCTCAGTAACAGAGGGATCTGTGGAGGAATTCACTTACTTCAAATGCCACACACTTCCTTCTAATTACTGACACCTCAGCTGTCTGGAGAGGAGCAACTTCGTGTTTCACAGACACAGCAATTTTCTTGGTATTGTTCCATTTCTCTGGCAGCTCCTGAAGGGATTAAAAGGAGCAACACTGAAGGGATTAAAAATTTGTTCTTCAGAGACAGTGATCAGCTCAAACAAACCGATAAATCCCTAAACTACAGAAAACACCTTTATATTGGAGGTCAGTAGAATTTGAGAAATGAGCAAGTGAGTGGGTCAACATGCTTACATGCATTTCTTGCAGATCAGGTGCTGTGGAGACAAAATTAGTGTATGGAAAACACTCAATTTATAAACATGAGAACTGTGTTCTTTTAGATTAGATGAAAATGAATCACAGTTCCCAACTTGTTATGACACAGAGTAAACACAGTGTTTACTATGGTGATCCAGAAGTGCAAAACACTATAACACAAATGAGAGCACAAACAGAAAAGACTGCACGAAAAACCTACACAACACAAACAAAAATAAATGCACAAACAGAAAAGAATGCACAAATAAAAATGTGTTCTCACCACCGACATGACATCTGTTGTAAGGTGAGAGGGGAGGCTACAGACCAGTGTGAAGTCAACAAAATAATTGTAAATAATTAAAATAAACCTACAATTTAATGTTATATACTTTAGACTTCATATTTACATTTGTAATTTAAAATCCTAAAGGATTCAGAGTGGGGAAACTCGCATAAGAAGCCATATAAAGTATATGAACGTCTTATAAAAAACAGAGCCCTGGAAAGGTTAGAGAACTTGATAGCACACTGTCATGACCGTTGTGAGAGCCCATGTCTGTTTTGAACACATTTGCTTGCACATTCTTTTTTGTCTGTGTTGTGTAGATTTATTTTAGTGCAGTCTTATTGGTTTGTGCACTCTTTTTTGTTTCTGTGTTTTGTTTCTTCTGGGCCAACGTAGGTTACTGCTAGATTCCACACGGTACAAGATGCACTTGTGGTCAAGGCCCATGGCCTCACCTCCAGCTGTGTGCACACATGAGCCGGCATGCGGTGCCCATAGCCTTCCAGCAGGACAATGGTCTCCTTCAGGGGGTGGAAGAGCTCATCAGTGGTCGCCTGGCGGTCTCTCACTGCCAGAAGATAGCCCATGACCTCCACCAGACCACTGTAGTCACCTTCCTTCAAAGGCCTCTGAAGGCCTTCGTCTGCCTCTTTTATAAATTCTTCCAATTCGTTGAGACTGAAAAGGAAAATAAATAAGAATCGGAATAACACACTGTACATCAAGGCCATAGTTCTCACTATATGATACACATGATACATATGATACACATGCTTTAATCACAATCCTTCTTTCTTTTCCAGTCACGATTTCCAATAGAAAAGTCCAAATCACCATTTGTCACCATTTCAAAGAAAAAAAACAATTTGTAATTCTGTGGGGAATAAAAAACAGTTGTCCCCTGCAGGATACAGTCTCGGGCAGGAGAGGCTCTGGGCTGCTGTGTGAGGAATAAATGGCTCTCTAATAATGGACAGAAGAAATCTTTTACAAGGCTCATGCTAAAACGTTTGTGGACTCTTCAAAGGTTATGAGATATGCATAGGCGAATGGGCAAGGAGAAGGTCCTGACTGTTGCTCTCTGACACGCCGAAGCCACCAAGACAGCGAGACCAGCCTCTCACCTCTCCGTGACGTAGGTCATGAGGTGCTCTTTGAACATCCAGCTCCATTTCTTGATCGTATTTAAAAGACTGCTTTTAAATGACCTAATGTCCACTCTAAACCAGCTTTCAAACACCTTGGCGTCTTCAAGCGAGCTGATGTGAGCGTACATGTTCTCATAAACATCAATCTGTAAAAGAACAAAACAGTGAAGCACATAGGATGTGTAGCGAAAATCTTAACATTGTGCTTAAAACATTAACAAGAAAATTAAAAACAGCTTTAATAGTAAGGCAATTATTCAATGTACACATTTTCTTTGCAATACAATAAAATGAACACAAGAAAATGAAGAGTTAGTTAATTATATTTTTTTCTCTTGCTTTGTCAATTCGTTTGTGGCATTTGTAAAACACTGTGATTTTGTTCTGAACCAGACTTCTGCACAGAACTGAAATCTTGCGGAGCTGAATCACTTCCACAGAAGGCTGCCATGCACCCACCTGTGCTTTAAACTGATCGACGGAAGGAGGATTCTCAGGGATCGGGTCTTCACCATAAGCCTCGATCTCCTCCGTGGTCAACACGTGGCCATAGAGGAGGAACTGCTTCATGAACTCGCCTCGGTCGTCCACCCACAGGTGGCGGTAGGGCTCAAACACACTCTTGTACTCCACTGCCTTTCTGATGACATCGTCCACTCTGTCCAGAACTTCCTGCCGCAGGTCAGACAGGTCCAGCATGTCCTCCATGTCATGCTGTCCAGAGGACCCAGAGCAGAAGACACTCAACACACACGAAAACCTCTCAGCCTTCTGTTCCAGCAGACGGTCCTCATTCCCATTCTAGAGTACACTGAGGCGAGGATGCCTTCACAAGGATTTTATGTTCTTTTAAAATGTGCAATTAATATGCACGACAATACAAGTTCCACCTCAGGCAGCATTAAACACTCATCCTGTACAGGATGTCAAACTATGTTCATTCTAGTACTATGTGGTGAAAAAAATATAGAAAATAATTGTTTTATATTTAATAAAATATGGAATATCCCAGATAGGAGTGAAGTAGGACATACTATATATACACATCTTGCACATATTGAAGGTTACAATATTACTGCTTCATTACACTGTGGTGAGTATTAGAGCAACAGCTGAAATCTGTTAATATACCTTTGTGCTGCCTGTACCACAAAGTATGTTATAACAAACTAAAACTAATTTGTATTAACAACCGCAGCAACTAACTTCCTCCTACAAAGGGTTAAGAGGAGATCAACTTCAAATAACAGGGTGAAACCTATCTAAAGTGAGAAACAACCTCTGTCACATACCGCACGAAGCTGTTTTATAAAACAGAGCTGTCTGGCTGCTCTGCGGGGTCAACTCAACGATGCATTGCTAAAAGTACTGAGCTCAATAAAGGCTGAAACTGTACTAGCAAGTCTCCTGCTTTCCTACAACATGACCATGAATTCCCTGGAAACTGTACCTGGTAGTCTTCCATGCCCAAGTGCCCAGCGACTCTCTTCACCTGCGCTGACACTTTAAAAACGTCACTCAGCAGCTCGTCCACTAGATCATAGAAGCCATCTGCAGCATCTTTGTCCAGAGAGGGCTGGAAGGTGATTTCCGGGGCTCTGAGGATAATCTGTGCTTCAAACAGAGGCGCCGGCCTGAAGGTGCTCTCCGTGTTCTCGATGAAGAAATCCAGAGAGCGCCTGATGGAGCAGAAGAGCCCATCGACCACCATCTCGTCCACGTACTCCAGGTACACCTTCCACGCGCCAGAGGACGGATCCGCACGGAAAAGGCCGCGGTTCTCCTGGCGCCGGCCAGCAGTGGGGATAAAACCGGGGGGAGGGGGGTTAAAGACAGATCTTCTAAACGGCAAACACTGTACACAGGTCATACAGCAACAGGCTGTACAAAGAGCCAGTGAAAAATGACCACCGTTTCTAAGAAAGAAAAAGATAACCTGATTGTATTACTGAAACACTGCCTAAGGGGTTCAGCGTGAAAAACCCCGATTTATGATTTGAGTATTGATGAAAATGAGCCAGACTGGCATGTCTCTCTACACATATACCCTGTTCGTGATGAAAACTGTGCTCTGATGAGCGGATAACTCCAGACGACCTGCGTCGGCACCCATGGCGACAGCCTCCCTCGCGCGGGCGCACTCTCGCTCACCTCCACGAGCCCGTGGATCCGCTCGCCGTCCCGCCGCACGGAGCCGCAGCTCCTCGCCGCCCTGTCGGCCCTGTCCTCCAGGCAGAGCAGGGCGTCCCGCTTGCCGTCTCTTCTGCAGAACAGGGCCCGCCCGCCCCAGCCCTTCGCGAGGGTCTGGAGCCCCCCCACGTTGCCCTTCGCTGCCTGGACGCGGCGCCCCAGCTCGCACACCGCGTCCTTCACCGCGCTGACCCGCTCCCAGCAGCCCTGCTGCGTCCACCTCAGGGTCTCCTCGGCGGCACGCAGACGCCCGTCAATGGCCGTCACCTCCTGCCTGACCAGAGGGAGCTCCACCTCCAGGACAGACTGCTTGAGCTTGTTGTACTCCTGCACCAGCAGCTCCAGGCCCCCCACATACTGCCAGGAGAAATGAGGGCAACGGGGGGGGGATTTGGGGGTATGTACAGAGGTCAAAGGTCACTTCCACCCTGAATCGTGTCGGGGCAGCAGCTGAGAGGGGAGCGAACGAGAATCAGGAAACGCTACAGCTTGGAAGTAGAAGGGCTGGAGAAACGTGTGAGCAAACGCTGTCCAGCTGTAGACTGTGCTCTGGTCAAAAGGGAAATACACATCCTGGGAACATAACTTAGGGTCCAAAATTAAAATCAAAAGATCTTTAAGGACATGTTGTCACATGGTCTGCCTTCACTATTTATTATTTCAGGAATAGAATAATAACAGCAAATAATACACATCCACTACCTGTAACAGTAAGACCTTTGCTTTGAGTTATGGAAAAAAACTCTAGGAACACTTTCTGGACCTTGTGATCAAATGCTTCAATTTGTAACATGTTTGCAGTACATACAATGAAGAATTTCAGATATGCTAAACTACGTACCTTAATAAACATTTCTTTCTTTTCATACATCGCCAGTGCAGCCTCGGGAATATTGGTCTGGTTTAGCATTTGGAGATATTTCACTTCTCGAAGAACAGCCACCAGCTGCAAGAGTAGAAAGACAGTTTTCAAAGCTTCAACAAAGCCTCACCAGCAGATATCAATGCCACCACCAACCAGTTGATTCCACATAGTAGTAAAATAATTATTTTCATCTTGCAAAGAATACATAAGTCGGTGCCTATGACATACAGAAGAACACAAGCAAACATACTGATAGAATATTCACTGGCTTACCTACTGCACATCTATCTGATCGACTTTCCAAACTGAGGAATACGGCTGCTGATTAATAGACCAGTGAATTGCTCAGACATCTCAGACAGACAACAGGTATCAGTGTTGTAGTTACTACCTCCATCATGATAGTTATTATAAACCTCTATCCTGAATAAGTTGAAGTAGGCGGCTGCATCAGCATGTATAGGCTGCAAAGGAACAGGTAAAGGTTAATTCCATGCTGAAAGGAGAAGACACAATGGTTCAGCTGTGGAGCTTTCTTCAGTTCTGAGGAAGGCTGATGAAGGCTCCACAGCTGAAACATCATGTCTCTTTTTTTTTCCTTTCAGCATGGAATAAACCTTTACAAGTTCCTTTATTCTGAAAGACAGGCCATCAAACCATGTCTCTCTTTTCTGGTCTGTTTTTTAGAATTGGCATGATTCTGCACACCATGTGTGCATTTGCAAGTATATATGTATGTCTGCCTCTCTCCTGTTTGAAAAGTATTGAATATTATGAACATTAATGAACACTAAATAAAAGCAGCAGTGTAATTCACTTCCCAATTCAACAGGCATTAAATGATACAAGCATGATGTTCGTGTTACCTGAGGGTCAAAATTCACAGAGAGGAGGCCACTGAGGGAATCACGCTTAATGAGAGGCTGATCCAGGTTGAACTGGCAAACTCCCTCCACCCCTGCCGCCCAGTCTGAGTACACCTCCTCCTCGTACCGGCCCAGCAAGGACAGCATCTCCACGAACTTCCGACAGACCAGCTCTGCTTCTGGAGCTCCGGAGCTTCAGCAACATTGGAAATGACAACGATGAGCTTGTTCAAGAGCAACTGCTGGCCAAGCAAACCACCAGCGACGGACCTGCTCATCGGTAGGAGTTCACCAATCTGAACATCACCGGAGAGATGAAGAATCAGGACCAGCTGCACGCCAGGGTGCCTGTGATGCCACTCTTGTTTCCTGATTCACCTCTGCCTCGTGGTGCGTTTTTGAAACTTTTTGCCCAAACGCATGTCAAAGTCTGTGAACTGTGACCACCACAGGCTGTCATCACCTTCCGTTTCTGCTACAATCTAAACTCAAGTGCTGCTGTATCCCTAAGTATAGGAGTTGGGATAGCAGTTATATCCCTAAACTGCACAATCATTAACTTTATTATTTGTAGAGGATTGTAGCGTAAAACATCACAGAACACAGAGGCGGAAAACACTTACAGGTTGTAGACAAGCTTTAGGTTTTTCCAAGGGGACTGAATTCTTTCCTTGAGCTCATTTGCCCACTTGAGGGATCCTGCTGTTAAAGGCATATTCTTGTTTACCATGTTCTTACAGTTCTGCACCTAAAACAACACAAGCCTCTGTGAGACCTTATTAATTAGCACATGCAAAATGGAATTTCATTTTCAGATTCACCTATAAAACAAGCAAAATTTGGTTCTGCATTTTTACATCATAACATAAGAAAGTTACTAATAAAAAGGCCAATCAACACATTTAGATCATATGGTTGCTATTACCATAACTAATCTGAGTATTTCAGGGTACGAGGTTCTGCAAACTTTGTGTGCAATTGAAAGATCTCCATAAATAACCTAGGCAGTGTTGTAAATATGACTTGTGTGCTTGTAGGGTAGTGGGACTTTGGAACCCGCTATATTCTTGAAGGCAATATCAAGGCTTCTTTAAAAAAAAAGGCTGATGAGATCCTGGAATTAATTAGTTACGAACTACCAAAGGAATGAGAAAGAACCAACAGGCTTCTTCTCATCTGTAACTATTCTGAAGTTCTTAAAATCCAAATACCTGTTTAATGTTGGAGTCATACAGCTGTTTACACCTTTCCAACTCCTGGTTGAAGAGCTGCAGCACCTTCGGAAAACTGGAACTAAAAATCTCCTTGACAGCAGGTCTTTCCAGGAAGCATCCGAATACAATAAGCAGCTGTATCACATCAGATTTTTTAAACCAGGATTTAATGACATGAGCTCAGTAAGCTTTACTTTCGCTCTTCACATTTCTTTTAAATATTATATGAAACACCATAACTTTAGAAGTAGTTCTGATAAATTATAACATAAAAAATGTAACATATTTCAACAAATTCAGATATGAAACAGATATTTCAGTAAGTATATTTCACAAGTCATACGTATGAAGCCGAAACCGACAATGTAGTAAATAACATTTTAACTGCACAATTTTATTAAAACATTAAAAGAGAAAAGAAACATTAACTTTCAAACTAACACACACATATATACGCGTCAAATACAGACACAAAGAGAGGCAGAATCAAGATGACAGGAATCCAGGCACAAAGCTCTGCAGATCTTTCTTGAAAACCCAGAACTGGTACTTGGCCCATAGGGTCTTTGCAATGGAAATACGGCGAACACAGTCAGTAAGAATGTTTTTATTTCGGCAGTCTCTCACAAGCAATTCCAAAACAATCAATTCCTTTCCCCACAGAATCCTTCCCAAGCTGACTGCATGCTGTTTTGGGATTACAATGTGGCTTTAGGAACAAACAAGCCAATTTCATTCTTGCTCTTCGTGGTCCTATTGACTTATTTTCTCAGGAGAGCATTATCGTAGTCCCACCAAATAAATGCCAGCACTTAACCCACTCCATATGTGCAACAAAGCTATCATTGAAATAATAAAGCTATTTCTGTAGCTTGATTATTTCAATGATTTCCCAAAAGTTGTATCAGGTAGACTTAACAAAGGCAGGCCAGAAAAACTCTAAATTAGAACACGCATAAACCATATTGATTGCAAAACACTTCAAGTGTGCAAATTTAGTGCTTGATTGTGATAGCTATTGCTTATTTAGGAATCTTATTACATCTAATATATTTCATTTGAACAGAAACAAAGACCTATAAAGATAGCACTGGGGCTCCAAGAAAGCATGTGCTCTCTGCCAAGGAATCTAACAGCATACCTTCAGTGCAGATTCCAAACCGGAGCAGTCATTGAATGCCATGTACAGGATAGTGGCAAGGCGTCTATCAAAATCCAAGACTTTCCTTTTAAACATTTCATAATGCCGTTCGAATTCCTTAAGGATAAACAAAAATTAAACACTCAGCAGAGAAATACATTAATAAGAAAAACGAAAGCCGATTGGAAACAGAAAAGCAAACACGAACAATATATATAAGCACAGTGACCGGATACAATCTCAGGCTGAAAGTAATGTCCTTCAAAGAACCAAGTCTTGAACAGAGAGTACAAGGGGATCCGGATCTAGTATTCAGTAGGTCCCCCAAAGTACTGACAATGTCAACCCAGTGGATCCCTTCAGTGAAACAGTGAAACCCGAACCAGAAGAAGAAACTACACAGAAGTGTTTGTAAAACACTCTTTCACACAAAGGGTGGGGTCTTGAAGACGCTGCCCAGTCATGTTCTTTCAAACACAGCTGGATGAGACTCTCAGAACAGAGAATGGGTTGAATACCCTTCATCCTTGTCTGTGTGGGACAAGACCCTCCTTGTCCGACATCAAACTTTTCAGAAATTCACCACTTTTCTGAAAACAGGAAAATAAAAATGAAATGAATTAACTATGGTACTTTAAACCGCTTCAGTGTAGGACCGTTTTAGCTACAGTGAACGCTGGTTCTCCTCTAATAGAAACAGTTCACCTCACTTAGTCTTTCCTGGAAACACCGAGGGTCCTGTTAACTTGTGTAGCTCACTGGATTAATCACAGTCACCTACAGCAGGGGATAATCCCCTGATTGACAGCAGTGCAAACCACGACTGGTCTGAGATCACAGTGGTCTTTTTCACAGTGTGACTCAATCAGCTCTCAGCAACTGTTAGCTAAAGGAAAATAAAACCACTGATAAAAACTTACAAGGCGCTGGGATTTTGGAATAAAAGTCACATAACAACCAAAGTCAAATAATAACAAACCACTAACTAACTACTGTAACTGTTTGGCATAGTCACGTCAAGTCAGATTCTGGCTGTAATGAAATAACCGTTTTCAAATTACTTAGACATATTAGCTAATTGCTGCAAGATATATTAATTGATTGAAGGAGATAGTCATTTTATACAATCCTGATTCACAACACTAGAAAGGATATCATCTGTAGGAATGTCCAAACCCAACTGATTGTTGACAAAGGCAGTAACGAGTGTTTAATGAAATTAAACATTTGATTTTATTAAACAGACCTTACTGTACTTGTCTACAGTATGAATAAAATGACTATGTACTGTACCCTTTTCTAAACACATCTTTGTGTTGCGATATAGCTGAAAACAAAAAAAAAATCCAACCTTAAAAATCACAAGAAAATAATTACATTTATTAACTGAAGCCAGGATTATAAGACATCTTGGTAAAAACAACCCAGATCAATTTATTATCACATGAATGTATTTATCAACTGTTTCAAATGTTAACATCCATTCTTATACCATCACAAAGCATTTACTATCGCTTCCTTAGAAATGCCCTGGTATACACTAAAGGTGCATTATTTTATTTATATTCAGATAAAAAGCCTCAAATGATATGGCAGTGTAAAACCCTTTACTAACCTAAGCGATGTCAAGGAAATAATTGTATGTGTTTTAAAAGCTATGGTTCACGGCCATAGACTATTGAGCCAACTTTACAATGTAGTGCAGTTTGAACCATCACTGCCAGTGCATAACGTATAAACTGTATGTACATATACTAAACAAGTGCGTATCTACGTCACTAGGCAAGTTTTAACAAGCCCCAATCTTTATCAAACTGATTAGTCTCATGTTGAGACATTTATCTACTAAACCATTTACATTTTTTTCTAAATTCTGGAATTATTTTTGAGTCTAATATAAACATGTAGCATTCTCTGACTGAAGAAATTACTGCATATAACAGCCGAGAAAATTAATCGGACACAGTACAGAAAGCCTGGTCACTTGGTTTGTGGAACAGAGGTCCTTTAGGTCATTGTGCAAACACAAATGTGGTCAAAGTCTGCCACTAACCAGATTTTTCACTGCTAACAGGATCAGTTACTGTAGCTATGTTTCTGCTCTCACAAACAAGGCATTGTGACTAAGTATCTTGTATAAAGTCTCATTTATAATAATAATTATTATAATTGCTTACACTTATATAGTGCTTTTCTGGACACTCCACTCAAAGCGCTTTACAGGTAATGGGGACTCCCCTCCACCACCAATGGTGGTTTATGGTTTATTCTCAAAAATAAAAATATAATAACACAATATTAATTGCAAAATATTTTCCTACAGGAAAGTAATATTTTTCAGCTAAATAATGAGAAGTAATTAAATGCATTTCAGTTGTAGCTTTCATCCCAAAATATCCGAGAGCTGCTCGCATAAGGAAGGTGCACCACTCCAATCATCACTGAAGTTCAACTTCACCTCGGTGACTGTGTGAGAGACACACAGGGGCCACTCTGCACCAGCAGCCCCACCTGGGAGACACACAGGGGCCACTCTGCACCAGCAGCCCCACCTGGGAGA